GGCCAAGTCGATGAATGGTATCGCAGTCGAGACGCGAAGCGGACTGGTATTGTGCCGCGGCGGCACAGCGGAACAGGGCGTGTGGCCGTGGCGTCATCAGCTTAGGAACACTCCCCGCTGCTCGCGGGGCTGGGCGGGGCGGGGTGGGGCGGGCACTTCACCGCTCCTGCTCTCCCGGCTGGCTGAGCTGCTCCGGCTACCTCCCCCTTCATCCCCCCGGATCCCACGCGCGGGCCTACCAATATTCAGAACCCGAAAGCCTCCCCCCCTCCCCGGCAGCAGTTTCCCCATTTAGTTTATACGTATGCCGAGGGAAAATTCGCGATTCTGTTCTGTGGGATAAGCAGCTCGCCCGAGCTCGCTACAGTACGTCAATGCCCCCCGCTATTATGGAGCTCTGCTGTGCTGTTGCTGTGTGAGGCCCTCGAGGGGGAATGCCCCGAACTCCCTCTCGCGCGCGACCTTGGCTGTGACTGTGCTGCAACTGATTTGTTTACAACCAATCATTTGAAAAAGGTCTGCGTCTGCGACACGAATGTGAAAGTGTACTTTACAACTGATAGCACCCCCTGCTCCCCTTCGTTTGGTTGCACACCCCGTACTTTCAGCTTGCGGCACGGCGTTGTTTGCTACCAATCACTTCATGCAGAAAAGAACCACCCCACCCCGTCCCCTTTCCCCCTTTACCTCCTCACCGCCAGCGGGAGGGAGGAGTCTGGCCAGGGAAGACGAAAGGAAGGGAGGGGGGGGGGGGGAGGATTCGGTGACGTGGATGCAATGAAAGTAAAGCGACTGACCACTCCAGATCCACGTCATCTGTTCTGTACCGAGTGGTACATTCAGATTCAGTTATTGTGTGAGGGATGTCGCGCCGGTCGCTCCCCCGCCCCAGGCGTCACCTCCGGGACGAGCAGGACGGCGTCGACACCGCCTCCCCTTCTTTTTGATCTGTTTTCGGTCATGCTCCCCCCCCCCCTCCCAAACAGCACAACGGCACAATGCAAGATTGATTATAGTATGGGCGAGGTTTAGTGGCGTCGGAAGCTGCCGCTGCTGCTACTCGCTGCCAAAATAAGCGAATCATATATATTTGTCCCATTGTTGCTGGAGTGGCAATATGGCGTGCCGATTTCTATTACTGGCGGGGGATGGAGAGAAGCGGGGGAGTCGTACGGACCCTCTCGGTGGAGAATAGGGAAGAACGCCGCCCCCTCTTCACCCCTCCCCCCCACCCCACGTTCAGAAGAAGCACGCGGGGAGAGCTGGGAAAAGGGGGGTGGGGTGGAAATCCATATAACCACAAGTTTGACGATTTTTGACCGGGCTTCTCCCGCTCCCACCCCCTCCTCTTTGCCTCCGCGCACAAAGACGCCAACAAAAGGCCCTGAAACACTTCCACAAGCCTCGACGACGACGGCGTAATTTGGACG